AATGTCAATGGTACAAACGTTTCATTTACCTTGAAACTTAAATCCCTCATAAACAACGAGCGGTTTTGACTTCTCACTAATAAAAACCCCATAAGAATAGATTTAGAACATTGACCAAGCACAGCAGTGGAGGAACTGATAGACATGTACGAGTACATTCATGTATTTTGTATACCTGTTTATACTTGGCCCTTAACTCGTACGTTGGTCGAGCCGCAACTCACCTGTCTCTCTTGGATAGATTAGTGTCCCGGCCGCAACTCACCTTTAGCCCACAGAATTATGATGAACTCCAGTACCAGATTATAGCATTGTGCAGGATATACTGTTTAAAACCCAGTAGGCGTAAAGAAAAAAAAATAAACTCCCAGATGTAACCTTTGAATACCATTAACAACAGTTTGGTTCTAACATTTTGGTTGTCATTTAAATTATCTTTAAAATTAGGGATGATTCCCTGCTCCACCCTGTACATTATTTAATTTATAAGAGTTTAAGAAATTACAACAAAAAAATTAAAGAAATTTTATTTCATGCACATAAGATCATGTTAATTGAACAAATTATGTCTAGAGTTTGATAAAAATATGGCATAAACATGAATACCTTATACACAATTGAATTTGTACAGTTTAAGCAGGATTATTATGTCAGTATAATAGGTTTTAATGACCAAAATCAGACATAGATGCTACAACGTTAACAGCTGACAAGGCTTATTGTATACGATGGTTTAACGTTGCATAGTGGTTGATGGGCTTTTCAGCTCAACTGGGATATAATGTGTCAATCAATTAATTATTGAGCATACAGTGTTACATATACTAGTAATACATTTATTTACGTTCATGTGTGGATAAGTATCAGTAAACTTTCCATATATGAATAATTAGCTATTTCTATTGGTATCATGGTAAGACCTGGGACCGATTGACCTTTTCTTCCCCAGATGTCAAAAACTCCATCTGATCAATTCTATAAATGTACATAAGAGAATGCTTTAATTGAAAATCAAATAATGAAAATTAAAATGTGTTCAATATGAAAGGTTTCTGTGGTGGTGGTATTTAAAAAGTATTATTACATGGCTGTAGTTTATTTCACACAACTTGTGGAGCATAAGCCAAACCTCCAAGGTTTACGAAATATCGACACTCGACAGTGCTCATTACATTTAGACTAAACATTTTTAGAAAACATAAAGGGAGCAATCCACATCAACAGCCCAATACTTAAGTTTCTATCCATTGCATTTTGCGAAAATGCTGCTAATTTTGATAACATGTATGCCACCTTAGCTGCTATCGTTTTCTACTGGTAAACATTTAGCCTGGTTGCTATTGAGTCAACAGGCTTCATTTAATGTGACGAATGTGTTTGTCAATGATAATTAAGTTAGAATGTGATTTCTACAAGATTAATATTTGTTAAAATAAGATTTCTTCATATCGTGTACTTTATATCGTAAATGATATATCAAAGGAAACATTAATGAAAAGAAATTTACCATCGAAAGTTTTGTTGAAGATCTAAAGATTTTTATTGGAGTAATGTGCTAGCTAGTTTATTTGATGTAATAAAGTACAGGTAGCTATAAATAAGTACCTAATGTGAACATTGATGGATTTTGATACAATATTTAACCTTACTGTAAAATACCTTATTCCAGTTTGTATACATGTTTGTCATGTGTGTTACTGGGTCCAGGTAGAACACGACCAGGTCCATATGTACAATATTCCTATTACAATGCATAGGATTGCGTGCCCACGTTTCAGGGGGTGCCTGCAGATTACGAAGCCTGCTAATTATACTGTTGTGACGTTAAATTATTTTTGTTATGTTTTTATTGGCTGTTTTCTTAAGCTTGTGCTTTTAATACTCATATCTATAAGTAACATAATATGAAAGGTCCTGCCTACATATATTTGGAAAGTAATCTTACTAATATATTCCCAATTATCTTTCTGTTTGAGATTGATAATTGATAGTTTGTTGTTCCTAATTGTGTATACTATTAGGCCTACTGGATTTAATATAAAACTCTTAGGTTGTGATATGTTGAATTGCACGTCGCTGCAGAGTAATCGATAGCTACAGATGTACGCTGTTAGAGGTTCTCTGTATGAATACAAAACGTTGAAACAAAAGAACAATAGAGGAAATACAAAACGTTGTAAGAAAAGAACAATAGAGGAAATACAAAACGTTGTAACAAAAGCACAATAGGGGAAATACAAAATGTTGTAACAAAAGAATAATAGAGGAAATACAAAACGTTGTAACAAAAGAACAATAGAGCAAGGAAGCAGAGTTGGTCATCAAACCGATTCTGTTTGATGACAGAATTCTATGTGATTCCAATTGAAACTGTTTGAGTTAAGTGATACCATAATTAACTACATATTCCTACGTCAGGCATTCAAAGCAAGGTGGACTTTGACTCAACAGTTTCAATTTGCAGCAGGTTGAAGGTATTAAGTGTCAATCACACTCGTATCTATTACATTGTTTAGTTAATTAATTTTAACCAGCCTAATGTATCCGTATTGCTAATTATTTAAATTACATGGGTAGTATCTATGTGTTAATACCTCTTTGGCTACAGTTATTTTGTGTTTACTATATCTTTGAGCATGGATAGAACTGTATACTATAAATTGCATTATAATCTTAATAATGAAGACAGTTTAAGAATAAAAACTAACTTAGTCAAAAATAATCTACCGAAAGTAGTTATGCGAATTACCACATTTTATAGTGTACAAATATGTACAAAGTCTAACTAAAAACTTGCTTATTGTGAACTATAATATCTCTTAAACCATAGCAACCAACCTCATTCCCAATATATTGGTGAATACCATTAAAAACTAAGAGCGTAACTAGAAATCTTAGTGCAGCTCTGTGAAAGCTCACTTAACATGGTTCTATTTAAATTAGAACTGGTCTGGTATCCAATACCATTGTAGTCAATGGGGTAATTAAGTCGTCAATGACATAAGTGTAACCTTTCTAAATTCAAAGTTTTAGTTTTACGTTAAGTAATTGAAGTTAATAATGTTTAATCTGTAACAAATCATCATCGGTTGTAAAAAAAAACAAAAAAAAAACTGTTCACGAATGGTTAAAGAATCATAAGGAGACTAGATTTAGAGGAATTCGTTACCTAAAATAAAACATTAAAATACAGTTTACAACTTGTCTTCTTTAAACGATCTCAGGTCTCATTATAGGTAGCTACTTCCACTATACATCTTTTAATGAAGCAATCTTTCAAAAGTATTATAGTTGTTTAGTTGTTACAATGATTTTTTAGTAATTTCAAAAAAAAACAAGCAATGCATAAAAGTACTATTGAAACGTTGATCAATGATTGAATATCTGTTATTGTTTTATTAGCAACCAATAACATCACACCAAGCCGACCCCTAGGGATGTCAGTCTCCTGTCAGGCGAATTGACGTGAACATGTCCTAGTTAGAGGCTAATGTTTTATGAAGCATAATGAAAATTATAGGTGGATAATCATGCTTTGTTTTACTGTAGTTATAACATAATCAGTTGATTGTATAGTTGTAAATCTATATTAAATAAAAAAGTGAGGGGTTTTTTATGGTATCAAAACCTTATTAAGTTAGTATAGATTAGTTAGATTAGTTAGTGTTAAGTTAGCATTAGATAGTAAAAGATTAATTAGATATATTGCTCTTAGTGTATCAACGATTGTTCAGTCCTGGAAGAAAAGTAATTTTATTTTATTTATAAAATATTTTCAGCTGTATAATTTGATATCCTTATGTTCATGGTTAATCTTATCGTAAGGCATGATAAATAATCATTAAGCACTTTAACTGTCTTAAAAAAAGAAAGTCTCATAGGTATACTACCAATTTTTTTCAAACATCTTGATGGGTTTTTATTATGGTGTCTAGAATAACTAAACTAAGAAGGTGTTTTCCAAATTCTTTTAACTACGTAGATTAAACTTATTTAAGTTTGAAATTCATTCTGTAATGCTAATAAATATGAAAATGCTGCATATGCGTTTAGGACATTTTCTAGCATTATTTAATCCTCCTTTCTTTTCAAAACCGACTAAAACTAAAGATTTAAATACTATCCATAGCTAACGTTTATTATCCAAGGCTGATTGTTTGGGCGTGCCAAAAATACAAACCATTTACTTAAGTCATTAAGTTGCCTGATATGATATATTGTGTGCTTCTGTATCACTCACTTTTAATAATTTATAAAATTAAGGTATTTATAGATTTACGAAATAATTAAAATTCCAGTTGGAAAGAGCAAACTATTTCTTTAAAGAATGTTGAGTTATAAAATATATTACTTGACATGAATCTATTTACAAATATGTTTTTCCTTTCACAAATTTATACTCCAAGTTTAAGAGATAAAATAAAATCAATAGTTTTACTGATAAATCGTTTCCAATAAAATTGAAGTAATAATGTTTAGTGAATTTCCGATTGTTTGTTTCATGTAGTAAATAATAGTGCCAGTAAAGTGGTAATTCGATATTGTTATCCTAACAGAAGCTAGTATAGTAATTGATATCATAGTGATTCAATTGTATGGTTCATCCTCTTGGAATAAATGGAAACTATTGAAATTTTTAGAAATAAGATTCATATTAGAGTTATCAAATTGATATTCTACTAATCGATTTTAACAGCATAGAATTCCTTAAGATGAACAAATTTTACAATATAAATCAAATACTGACTTATAACATTGACTAGTAGGCTTAGCCATTAATAGTGAAATTGCTCATACTATTACAGCTTCGTTTACCCGTACTGTGTTTAACATTTGAGACTAATTTCAACCTACACTTTGTTTATGAAACTGCGTTAGGTATCTTTACACCTTATCAACTACCAGTAATGAGTGTAAAAAAAATCAAATAAATACTAAAATAGAAAGAGAATTGGTGATTCCAGAAAGATTCTGTACTAAGTTTAGTTTGTTGTGTGCAGGACTTCTCTCTGGACGCAGATGAGGTACGAATGAGAGCCGCAGCCCACCACATTGTACGCAACTTGACTGCTGGAATGGCTATGATTACTTGTAGAGACCAACTGTTGCTGTCCATCAACTCCAACCTCAAGACTGTCTTCCTCAGTAACCTGATGGTAACTAACTAGAATATTTCAATATAATATTCTAATTCATCCAATTTAATTTGTCACTGATTTTAATTTCAATGCATTCCAATTGACAGTGTTTTGTCCCCAAAATTGCAGTCTCTACAAGCAGCTAATAATTTTACATTTGTTCAACCCAATTAGGAACAAAAATAAGAAAGTCGTCTAGTTAAAAAGTTGTTGATACTTGTATTCTGCAACTAGAAGAGGATAATAATCAACTGTTTTAAATTACATCTTTGACAAAAAAAAACATCGTAAAATTTTGTTAATGGTGACATTTCAGACCGGATTCGGGTTGGATAATTATAAGGCTTAGTTTGGGTTGGATCCGATGGTGAGTGGTCCGATTCGGATACTTTTACGTTCAATTAATTGAAAAATTAATACAGTAGAACCTCGAATTACTAGGGCCGGATCAACCTTGGTGAATAGGTGCCTCTGAAATTGTGTTAAAATAATGGTGACCAAGTTGATTGTATTGTTGAAAGACAAAATATATAACTGTCCATATGAACTTGAATTTTTTGTTAATTTGGGTACCTATATTTTAAAGGAAAGCAAAGTGGCTGATTAGGACAAAAAAAAAATATTGAGTCGAGCTAAATCACCTGAGAAAGTTTGAATCAAGTCCCGGAGCTAATAGAAAGAAGTCACAAAATACTGAAATTTTGTTTGTATAATTTCTCTAACTTTGTCAGGCAAGTTAGCTGAACTCTTTACCACCTTAAAATATCCTTGTGTAGTTAATTTGGTGGATTTGAAACTTGTTGAATATATCATTACTATGTCTGATTGTAGTCAGCCAATCAGCAACAGAAAGACATGGTAGAGCAGGCAGCTACAGTCACGGCCCAGGATAACATGGAGCTGGCTTGTGCTTTTATACAGAAGACAGCCATTGAGAAGGCAACACCTGAGGTTGACAAACACCTGATCACTGTGAGTATGAAGACTTGATGAATAAAATTATCTATATTTTCCTAAGCTTTCCATTATTAGTTACTAAGTTTGATATTCTCCATTGTCCCAATATTTTAGTCATTAGTTACTTGTTCGACCCTTGGTCATAAACTAGAATATGGATAAAAGTCCTTGTACAAGTCTCTTTTAGTGATGTGTCAAAACCGAATCTCAAATCTCAAAACCATCAAAACTTAAGAAAAGTTTCGGTTTCGAGATTCGATCACCAAGTTTCGAGATTCAAAAGTTTCGAACTTGAAGATTTAGCAGTTTTATTTTTGAAACTGCTGACATTTATTTGTGCCATTGTTATTGTTTTTAACACTGTTTCCAAACAAGCTGGTAGCAACAAAGCAAACGTCACCATTACACATTAACAGTAATGAAACAAGTAAATTTTATTCTGAACTTCAAAAGGTATCTTAAATACTATAACTGGTACAATTCAGTTTCACATCAATATTTACTAAACACAAAGACAAAGATATTTACTAGACACAAAAATATTGACCACCTAAATGTTCTAATTAATCTAATATTCATGTTTATGTTGGCGTTAAAAGTTTAATTGATTTTTTTTTGTTTATAAAAAATTATGTTGTATTGGGTTTTAAGATTATCAGTCACATTCACATACTGTATTTATGTTATGCCACGGTCAGGAGGAGTCTCTTTCAGTTTTGATTGCATACTTAACATATTATGAGTATGTGTATTTTTTGTAACCTTGACCTTTGTAACCAGCTAAGTAAAAAAGTTTCGCGTTTAGGTTTTGAGATTCGAGATTCGGGATTTGATTTTTAAAGTTTTGGTTTTGGTTTTGAGATTTAAAATTTCTGGTTTTGACCATCACTAGTCTCTTTCCTAGTTAAGCGGCAAGAGGTGAGTCACAAGTACAAGGTTCTGCCCTTTGCATACGTGATGCATATTGGGAACTGCTTTTTGTTGACAATTTCTTCTTTATACTACACTATAGGTGTAAGTGTTGTTATCTTATCTTACTAATATTATAAATGTGAAAGTTTGTTTGTTTGAAGTTCAATCACGCATTAACTACTGGACGGATTGGGCTGAAATTTTGCATGATGATACCTCATATTCCCGATTAACATATAGGCATATTCTTATCTCAAAAACCCTTTCGGGCTCCGCCCCAGTGGCTCTGTAGTTCCCCATGTTAACCTTATGAGTATTCATATTTAAAGGGAATTAAAGAATTTAGTCAGCTGTTTCAACTAAAAAAGTTGGTTCTATGATATGGAAAGTATTAAAAAGTTATGAGATTTACCAACAGGGTGCAGCACTATTATTTTTTTGCATTTATGAAAACAGCTTATTTGAACTAAGTAGCAACAAAAAACAGTGATTGGCAATGAGAACTAACTGTCAAAGTAGGATTGTTTACTGTTATGTTTATGTTTTTAATTGCATGAATAATTTGTGATGTTTTGCAAAGTTTTAATTATTTATTTTTCTCTATTGTTTAGGTGCAGTGGTAGAACATTATGGCTATGGTAGATGTGTAATACTATAGTATAGCGTAAATTTTATTATAGTAAACAGTTTTGTTCAAATGTGTCCTACCCCATTGCAAAAGCTAAGTTAGAGTATAACACTGCAATAAACATTTTGCACTTATATGCCAACCCCGTACGAAGGACGGGTACTCAGCTAGTGATATATATATTGTCCAACATGAAATCTTCCTAATGTTAAATAAATGTTTCAAGTTTTTATACTTGACTTGTAGAGGAGACATTTCTACCCTCAGAGACATTATTGCATCTGCATTATTAGGTTGTGGCAGAGCTGCGAATATCACGGAGACATCGTCATTTCCCACATAAAGGAGACATCTTGAACTTGTGATAGTGTAATCTTGGCAAACCTTTTCTGCAATCGTAAAAATATAAGGTTATTTTAACTTTAATTTCTAATTTTTTACTCGGTTTCTTGAGCTTTTAGGCTTGGTTCAGCTCGACAATCGAGTCGCTTTGCACACAACTTTAGAAAGAAGGCCTTAAATCAATTCAATCAAATAAAGGACAGATCAAATAAGGAACAGATTAAATTCAAATATATTTATTCATCAAATACATTGGCTTGGTTTACAAAACCTGGCCTCGCCAGGTTTACAAAACTTGATGGCAAGGTCCAATTGATTCAAAAGTATCAGATAAACAATTTCAGTATTTTTTAAAGATCTTTGTTTTTAAAGAACACAATATGCTATTTAATTTTTATTTCTAAGGCGTAACTGTTAGATTTGTTTACTTATATTCAAGTCTGCAATTGAATTATTCAAATATCATTTTTCATCTATACCAGTCCAGCAAACCTTTACAGAGTTTAACATAGGTTCTCGGATAAGAACTATGCCTATAGTTTGACAACCATCCTGCTGTTCTGTTGTAGGAATATGAGAGACGCAAGCACGCTCGTGCAGAAGGACTCTGCTGTGCTGACGTACCAGGCAGAGCACATGACGTCTCAAGGTCGGAGCAGTCACACCGCAGCAGATGGTGGTTTACGAGGAGTTTGCCCGCAACATCCCAGACTTCCAGCCACTCTCGGAGCGTGACTCTGCTGTGCTGATGTACCAGGCAGAGCGCATGACGTCTCAAGGTCGGAGCAGTCACACCGCAGCAGATGGTGGTTTACGAGGAGTTTGCCCGCAACATCCCAGGCTTCCAGCCACTCTCGGAGCGTGACTCTGCTGTGCTGACGTACCGTGCCAGGCAGAGCGCATGCCAGAGCAGATCCGTCTCAAGGTCGGAGCAGTCACACCGCAGCAGATGGTGGTTTACGAGGAGTTTGCCCGCAACATCCCAGGCTTCCAGCCACTCTCGGAGCGTGACGCTGCTGTGCTGACGTACCAGGCAGAGCGCATGCCAGAGCAGATCCGTCTCAAGGTCGGAGCAGTCACACCGCAGCAGATGGTGGTTTACGAGGAGTTTGCCCGCAACATCCCAGACTTCCAGCCACTCTCGGAGCGTGACTCTGCTGTGCTGACGTACCAGGCAGAGCGCATGACGTCTCAAGGTCGGAGCAGTCACACCGCAGCAGATGGTGGTTTACGAGGAGTTTGCCCGCAACATCCCAGGCTTCCAGCCACTCTCGGAGCGTGACTCTGCTGTGCTGACGTACCGTGCCAGGCAGAGCGCATGCCAGAGCAGATCCGTCTCAAGGTCGGAGCAGTCACACCGCAGCAGATGGTGGTTTACGAGGAGTTTGCCCGCAACATCCCAGGCTTCCAGCCACTCTCGGAGCGTGACGCTGCTGTGCTGACGTACCAGGCAGAGCGCATGCCAGAGCAGATCCGTCTCAAGGTCGGAGCAGTCACACCGCAGCAGATGGTGGTTTACGAGGAGTTTGCCCGCAACATCCCAGACTTCCAGCCACTCTCGGAGCGTGACTCTGCTGTGCTGACGTACCAGACAGAGCGCATGCCAGAGCAGATCCGTCTCAAGGTCGGAGCAGTCACACCGCAGCAGATGGTGGTTTACGAGGAGTTTGCCCGCAACATCCCAGGCTTCCAGCCACTCTCGGAGCGTGACTCTGCTGTGCTGACGTACCGTGCCAGGCAGAGCGCATGCCAGAGCAGATCCGTCTCAAGGTCGGAGCAGTCACACCGCAGCAGATGGTGGTTTACGAGGAGTTTGCCCGCAACATCCCAGGCTTCCAGCCACTCTCGGAGCGTGACTCTGCTGTGCTGACGTACCAGGCAGAGCGCATGCCAGAGCAGATCCGTCTCAAGGTCGGAACAGTCACACCGCAGCAGATGGTGGTTTACGAGGAGTTTGCCCGCAACATCCCAGACTTCCAGCCACTCTCGGAGCGTGACTCTGCTGTGCTGACGTACCAGGCAGAGCGCATGCCAGAGCAGATCCGTCTCAAGGTCGGAGCAGTCACACCGCAGCAGATGGTGGTTTACGAGGAGTTTGCCCGCAACATCCCAGGCTTCCAGCCACTCTCGGAGCGTGACTCTGCTGTGCTGATGTACCAGGCAGAGCGCATGCCAGAGCAGATCCGTCTCAAGGTCGGAGCAGTCACACCGCAGCAGATGGTGGTTTACGAGGAGTTTGCCCGCAACATCCCAGGCTTCCAGCCACTCTCGGAGCGTGACTCTGCTGTGCTGACGTACCAGGCAGAGCGCATGCCAGAGCAGATCCGTCTCAAGGTCGGAACAGTCACACCGCAGCAGATGGTGGTTTACGAGGAGTTTGCCCGCAACATCCCAGGCTTCCAGCCACTCTCGGAGCGTGACTCTGCTGTGCTGACGTACCAGGCAGAGCGCATGCCGGAGAAGATCCGTCTCAAGGTCGGAACAGTCACACCGCAGCAGATGGTGGTTTACGAGGAGTTTGCCCGCAACATCCCAGGCTTCCAGCCACTCTCGGAGCGTGACGCTGCTGTGCTGACGTACCAGGCAGAGCGCATGCCAGAGCAGATCCGTCTCAAGGTCGGAGCAGTCACACCACAGCAGATGGTGGTTTACGAGGAGTTTGCCCGCAATATCCCAGGCTTCCAGCCACTCTCGGAGCGTGACGCTGCTGTGCTGACGTACCAGGCAGAGCGCATGCCAGAGCAGATCCGTCTCAAGGTCGGAGCAGTCACACCACAGCAGATGGTGGTTTACGAGGAGTTTGCCCGCAATATCCCAGGCTTCCAGCCACTCTCGGAGCGTGACTCTGCTGTGCTGACGTACCAGGCAGAGCGCATGCCAGAGCAGATCCGTCTCAAGGTCGGAGCAGTCACACCACAGCAGATGGTGGTTTACGAGGAGTTTGCCCGCAACATCCCAGGCTTCCAGCCACTCTCGGAGCGTGACGCTGCTGTGCTGACGTACCAGGCAGAGCGCATGCCAGAGCAGATCCGTCTCAAGGTCGGAGCAGTCACACCACAGCAGATGGTGGTTTACGAGGAGTTTGCCAGCAACATCCCAGGCTTCCAGCCACTCTCGGAGCGTGACGCTGCTGTGCTGACGTACTAGGCAGAGCGCATGCCAGAGCAGATCCGTCTCAAGGTCGGAGCAGTCACACCACAGCAGATGGTGGTTTACGAGGAGTTTGCCCGCAACATCCCAGGCTTCCAGCCACTCTCGGAGCGTGACTCTGCTGTGCTGACGTACCAGGCAGAGCGCATGCCAGAGCAGATCCGTCTCAAGGTCGGAGCAGTCACACCACAGCAGATGGTGGTTTACGAGGAGTTTGCCCGCAACATCCCAGGCTTCCAGCCACTCTCGGAGCGTGACTCTGCTGTGCTGACGTACCAGGCAGAGCGCATGCCAGAGCAGATCCGTCTCAAGGTCGGAACAGTCACACCGCAGCAGATGGTGGTTTACGAGGAGTTTGCCCGCAACATCCCAGGCTTCCAGCCTCTCTCGGAGCGTGACGCTGCTGTGTTCATTCCCAAACCTGTACCGGTAAGTTACATGTAGCAGCATTTTGGATTAGTTAAGTAGTTGTAGTTTTATTAGTTAGGTTTGTTTTGCTGTTATAACCAAAGAACAATAGGAAAAGAAGTTTACTTGCAGTTTTGAGTTCAGTTTAATAATGTCTAAATACCTAGTCACAGAAGATTATTTTCTTTGACCGTTCTGTTCAACCACATTTTAATCTCTAGCAGCCTCATAAATAATTTAATCACATTTTTGGAAATTAGTATTATATATTTAATAACAGAATTTATTATTATAATTTGTTCTTTATTGACTAAACAACTGGTATTGCTGACATATGATTATTTCATCTCGAATATAGCCTACATATTGTCATGATTAGAATCATGTTAATTGAGTATTTAATTGTGTTTAGGAACCAATTTCGGTTGTATCAAAATTCCAGAGTGCTCCTGCTCAGATGGTAAGTAAATAAGTTATTTGAATAGGTTGAACAATTTTAGTAAAAAGACTAAACATTTTCTCATTCATTTAACAGATACATTAACAACTCATCTTGGAAGGTCAAATCTTCTAACTAAGGAACTGTTGTTTCATAAATATCATTTTTAGCCTTTGTTTAACGCAAATATTGATTTGCATAAAACTAACTATGATATTTTTAAAATCAAACCAAATTTCTATTACTTGTCAGGGTACAGTTTTTTGTACACTGAATGTATATCTTGGATAATTATTAACATTAGCCCTTAAGCGTGCATGCTAGTTTTTTTACGCTGCAGCACGCACGGCCCAATGGACCCCCCCCCCCAAAAAAAAAATGGGCAAATAAAAAAAGTTTTTGATATTTAGCTCTTTAAACTGTAGACATAATAATAATATCTATATTCATTTTCTCATATTGTTACGTAAACTTTATGATCCTACCATATCCTTTAACTATTTTGAAAATAATAGTTTGAACCCTTAATTTTTTCATGATAAAATGTAATAATGGTGTTGAAGAGAGGAAAATCATAGTTAAACAAGTTTTTATTGCAAACAAATATTATTTTTAATTTTACAAAAGTATAATACTTGTAAAAAACTATGGAAGCAGTAAATATTTCATGAATTAATACATTTCCCGGTTAGTAGAAAATACTGAACAAAAAATAAAAAAAATTAAAAACTTTCTTTGGTAATGTGTGTTTTTTTTTATCCTCGTCCAGTGGTTTGTTTAGAAGTCCTATTAAACACACTTAACAAATATTTTACAATTGGCCCTGGCACATTAGTTTGTTTAAGGATTTACTCTTAAATATGGTCTTGGCATCTTTTTTACAAAGGCAGACGGTGCACCACACCTTTTTACTGGGAGGCTAGATCAGTGGACTCTATAGTTGGACATTTCCATCCAATTGGTTTACAGTTACTAACAGTAACTAACCAATTGGTTTACAGTTAGTTAGTATTTGATTTTTGCAAACTTTCAATACTATCAAAATTATAAATAAGATAATAAAACTGAGACACTACTAACTACGCGCATGTCATACCCCCGCTTGCACGTTTCAGGGTGAAAAATCTAAGAACCAATAAATGGAAATTTTACTTGTAGGCCTAACTAAAGCTAAGTAGGGAGGCGGGAATGCACTCTTCTAAAAAGCAAAGAGTGTTCTCCGCCAAAAAACCTTTTAGGTTTTTATGAAATTCTTAAGGTTTTGTTTAGCTTTTAGCGAATTTCCCATATAGGGAATAAGCTATTACCGTAGTACTCATGGTAAGACCTGGACGCGGGACCGATTTTTTTTTCGTTTTGAGGTCCCTAGAGGCCAAAAACACCATCCGTTCTAATTCATATTTTTAGATGTTTATATATTTTATTATATATATATATGTGTGTCCGTTAGCACGATAACTCGAGCAAAAATGATCCGATTTTGATGAAATTTGGTACAAACGTGTAAACCTACGTTTATTCGAACGAGTTCGCGATCCAGCTTGATCGGACCAAGGGAATGGGGGTTTACGGGGGGTTTTATGGGGTAAAAATGGGGTTTTCCCATTTTTGACCCAAAAAACATAAAATTTAGCAATTTCTTTCCAAACCATTTTGTAGAGCTTAAAAAACAAATAATTTAGTATATTGAAGCGTTATAATGCGCCTAATGGTTACGGAGTAAATTCCAAAAAATTTTAAATTTAAATTTCC